AGAACTAGTAGATCTTTTAGTAGTTACTAGAACAGTCTATTATTAAGCGTTAGTACACTACCTAATCCTATTATAATAATTTACCTTACTTCTATTATAGTAGCTTAAAAAAGTAGCCTCTAGGTAAGGTATCTAGTAATAGGCAAGTATAGTAACAGAAGACCTAGTAGGGCTACTTAGACTATAATATACCCCTTTGTAAAGGCAGAGATTACTAGTACTTATAGCATAGGTAAAACGCTATATACACAGAGGTACTATGAAACTATTAGCTTGTTGGACTTAATACTGTAAATGCACTAGCTCTACCCCGCCCTTGGCAGAAATGGGGTCACCTGGCACTCAAAGGGATATCACATATACTGTAGTTCTTCCTTTTCTAGGGAGGGTTAAGGTTTATGCTATAAGCTTATATGTATCTCTTATACTGACTGCTAGGTGCCTATTAGCCTACCCTAGTCCTATTATGCTTTGACAGTTCGCAACACTCGCTCAGTTGCTCAGTCCGTAGCTTATGCTTACTTTAATCATTTAGTTACACTAGCTTAGACTAACCTCTTAAAAGAGATAAGGGGAGGAAATGCGACTATTGTGGTTTAGGTTAAAGTCAACGTTGAGGATTTATCCGGGGCAGTATCGCTGCATCGCTGCCACTGCCAACCCCTTAGTCGCCGCTATGTCCTGCCGATCTCTAGGCAAGGGGCTGTGCAGCCGCCTGGAACTGAGCTTAGAGGAAGTTTGGATATTCATGGTTTCCTCGACTTGGCTGCGTGGCACAGAATCCAGCCAATAGGTAGGCTGCTTTACGCAGCTACATGCAGATATTTGACGTACACTAGGGTACTTCTTTCAAACATGGTCACACTGTGAATACTTGTGGATGAACGGATGAAGTCTGTTGATATAATTTCTTGCTTTGTTTCATTTATTTTATTGCCTTGTTGTTTGTTCATTTTTGGTTCCGACCCAACATCTCATGTACCTGACAAATGTGATCTATCCACGAGATAGACAAAGCGTAAAGTGTTGCTTGAAACTTCAGTTCTGGCACTTCTTTGAATGATATTAAGCGTTGAGCTTCTGATGTTTATTAAATTGTAAAAAGTTCATTATGATTTATTGACTGAATGGCTAGCAATACGTTTGCCTGGCCTCGTTAACTCATTCATGCCACGGTTGGGTTGGTAGGGATTGGGAATGACGGAGCGACGTCAACTTCGGCGTCATCGAAAGCGAAGTCATCACCATCCTCAACGTCACGGGTAAGTCCCCTTCTAGCCTTCCAGGGCTTGACTGGCTTCCAGGGCTTGCGTGACTTCCAGGGCTTGCCTGGCCTTATGCGCCCGGGTCGGGCCTTCGCTGGCTTTCGTGTTGGAGTGGTTGGTCGGGGCCGAGTTGGCGCGAAAACCGGATCGGCAGGCGGATTGTGAATGTCGATGTTGGGGCCGTTGACGACAGGTTCCTTGTCTCCAAGGGCGCGGGCGGCCTTGATTGCAGGGTTCGCGACACACGTGGCAGCATCAGGCTCGGCCTCCAGGTTGAGGTAAAAGTCGGCGCTGAAAGCAGCGTCCAGAGAAGCCTGGAAGTTGGCATCTTGGAACGGGCACCGCGCGAGCTCGTACACGAAGCCGTTGAACTGATCCACGGCTGGTTGCGGCAGCTTGTTCCAGCTTATTAGGGGCATGTCGAGGCCATCAGCGACGCTCTCGGATGACGGGAAAACGGATGACTGGCCTCGGTATCCCACCACGGGGTGTGTGCTGGAGACGGCGTCTGTCGCGAAGAGCGTGGGTTGTTCGAAGCTTTTGCTGTACATGTCTTTCCCGAGCGAATAGCTCACGCCCGCGACTGTGAAGTCGGCCGCGGTGGCATTGCACTTCTCCGTGTGAAGCCATACTACGGCGCTCAAATACCAATGCCTGGAGGAAGGGTTGTCGACGGTCAACGACATCATCTTGGGCAAGTACCACGCGTAAAGCACCGCCATGCGACCGTTGGAGGATCCCACTCTTGAGTAGACCTGACCCTTGGAGGGGTCTCGGCAGTCATCGGCCTCACCTCCAGTTGGTTTGAGTCCACCACTGGCAGTCCATTGTTAGTTACAGCCCGGCGCGCCATGTGGTTTGGCGTGTTCACTATGCGCTTACCTGTGAAAGCCCTCTGCGTCGACAGCGGGATATGGGAGACAGCCCCGCACGCTGTCGAGTGCGGGCTTGAACTGCAGCTCAAGCTGTCCAGGCAGTCCGTCTGCCGCCTCCTGCGCAAAGGGTGTGATTGCGTCGTGTTTCTTCACTTTGCCCTCAAACGGATCGTCGCCCCGTTGAGAGAGTGTGCGGCCTGATGCCGAGGCAATCAGGCCAAGGGAAAAGAGTGTCAAAAACGAGCGGCTAATCATCACGGCTGGTTCAATAGAAAAACAAAAAACGAAGGTATAGATTACGGCCAGTAATGAAGGTCGGATCAGCTTCGAAGAGCGCCTGAAGAAGGATGCACACAACAAACGTGGGAATCATGCTGTAGCAGTACCTATATGAAAAGCTTCTGCGCCATGCATACAAAGACGGTGCTATAGAGCGGAGCAAGTCCGGAGGCGCCGATGATCTAGGTTGGTCCCATTGGAGGCTAGTAGTATTCGAATCGTAACACCACACTTATGGGCAAGCAAAATACCTTGGAAAGTTCCACTGACTGTTCCACCCAGTACGTCCGTCTGACTCGTTGACCTGAGTCTATTTCTGTAGCAGGCCACATAAACCAGGGTTCTGCATCAGGGGCACGGCCTGCACCCCTGCATAATTTCAACCGGATCGCAACGTAGTCTGGTATTCAGTCGCTTCATCCGAACGCGTGGCTCACAGGCCACCACGGGCCGCAGGTAATCGTGCAGTCGGGCATCAGTGAATCGAGCGATCAATCAATGCCTATGATCTGGGCTTGACGACAGCGTCTCTGCGTGGGGCTGTCTACAGTTGCCTGCCGCCAACTCAATCCTCTCCTCCGAGTGATCAGACAAGCTGATATTGTCCCCCCCCCTGTCAACCCATGAGTACCATGCACAATAACAGCAACAAAGCTCAGTAGACAGTGGATTTAGTAATAATATAACTATCTTAAAAAAAAAATTTAGAGGCAAAAGGGATAGTCTTGGCCTATCCTGACCTAGAGCGTAGCGTAGGAAGCAGGGTAGGTTAGCACTATTCTAACCCTCCTTAGCAGAGCTGTTTTAGAATTAAAAAAAAAAAATCCAAGAAAACTGGATTTAAACCTGCAGCCTTTAGGATATGACTGCAGCCTTTAGGATATGAGGTTTACTACGTGTGATGGGTAAGTAAAAACTCCCTAACAGGTAGTGTGGAGTTGTGACCCACGTACGCGAGACTCTCACTGGCCAGAATTATGATGGATGTGCACAAGAACCTCAAAGTACCGTCGCTGAGGTAATCAAAAAAGCACAGCCATATTTACCTGACGAGGGGGTTAAACTTTGGCCCGATACCATAGTATTGCTGTTATTGTGCACGGTACTCTTGGGTTGACAGGGGGGGATACTATCAGCTTGTCTGTAGACTCATCCTCTCCCCTTGTTACTATTTCTTATCACTGTATAGTCGGAACAGCCCCTTGCAGATATCCGTGCGATCTTGGAATCTCCAAAGATGTTTATGATTTACCCGCCCTAGCCACTGAAGAGACCTTGAACTCTCTGGGCACTTGATAGTATGGCGCACTTTGATTGGAATCCGGGATCTGCCGGATAGGCGCAACAGGGGGGCACAAGGTGGCAGTTCGCTCTAGCCTCTGGAATAACTGTTATGTGTTGTGGAAGTCTAGCTACTTGGGCCTTTGCAGAGAGCGTCGGCGTTGAGTGAATCAACAACACAGCATCAACAATTGGAGGAGCTTAGACCTAGCAGCTATGGCCTTCAACCGTATGGCCATGTAATCAATCAACCAGAAGGATGATGGCTGTTTCAATTGGTTAAGTTTTTTCTATCCTGTTTCTCTCTTTTCTCCATTCTGTTTCTCTCTTTTCTCTCTTTGTGTTGAACTTTGAGAGACGGGGTGAACCCGGAACCCGGCTTGCCTGCAGGCTTGAAAAAACACTGCTGTTTCTCAGAGGCACGTGGCACCTCACGCAAGTTTGCGATATTAATTAATCATCGGTGTTTCTCGGAACTTTTAGACCCACATGATTTCTCCAAGTGGGCTGTGCATTAATTCCCCGCTCGGGTACCATGAACACGATTCGTGAAGCCACTGGATTACCGGGACCGTACCCTCTCGTTAAATTCGACTTTATCTAAAGCTCGAGCTAACGGTAAGGGGTATCGCGGCCGCTGAAAAGGGGCTGGCGTGCTGGCAGAAACAGGGTCAGTTGGTTAGTTGATAGGTTTTCAAAGCTCATTGTAGCAGTAATACTCCGTAGGTGTGGTGGACTGGGAGTTGACCGCTTTCCATGATAGACTTAGCGCCTGGGCGGCCGCTTTCCCCTTAACCGTTAGCTCGTGCATTAGATATAGTCGAATTCAACGAGACGATATGGTACTGCTATGCCTTGGTTGACGATCTTGTAAGAATCGGGCATAGCATCCCCCGGCTAATCTGGAGAGTGTCTCGATAACTGTTGACTTGGAGAGTATGTATTTAGGCTTTCCATCACGGACTCGATTTCGTCCGATTTTATACTTTTGACATGGCCAGCAACCGTGCAGGCGCCACTCTTTTCGTTCTGTTAGCAAATACACACGATCGTTCTTTACAATGGTTTCGCAACGTTTCTCGGCCGTGCTCTTGCTTCTGGGCGGTGCACTTATTGGCTTGGTAAGCTCTTGATTCGACCCCGGCCAGGCTTGTCAGATCAGCGTATGGCCATGACATCTTTTTTGCGAGCCTGCTAACCTGTAATCCTAGATTTCTGCTCAGCCTACCCGTCCTTTCGCCGTTAGTAGCCCGATTTCAAAGTTATTCTCGAACGACCTGACTAACCATGGTACAGGGCAACCAAGCTTATGCTTTTGACTACGAAAAAGACGACAAAACTGGGAGATGGGTTTTCGACGTCTACGGAGACGGCTACAGTGAGAAGAAAGATAAGGGTGGCCAGGCGCCACTCGACATAATCATGGTCAACACGCAGACAAAGCGCCTCACTGTCGTCAAGGCCATGAATGGACTGGACAAGACGGAGCCCCGCCTCAAGATGCGACAGGTTCTCAAGGAGTGTTGGACGATGACAGGCCTCCAGACGTCTCAGCTGGAGGAGGTACTCGGCTACAAGATCGAGAACGCCGATATGAAGGCAGCCCTCGTGGATTGCCGTAAGACTATGAACCTGCAGCCTAGCGACTCTTTCGTGCTGTCGACCACAGACACGGACCTGGCCAAGAAGAGGTGCTGGGACAGACTCGACAGAACAATATTTTCAGCCTCCATCCGGGGTGCAGTTGCCGATTTCAGCATCAACAAGAAACTTATACAGGTCAAGGTGGACAACGGGGGAGAGTGGGATCACGTTTACTACAAATTCTCATAAGGTCGCGGGTTACGGAATCGGGATACGAGCCGACGACCGACACCGCAATAGACAACATTAACACCTAAGTAGCTAAACGAATCACAAATAAACAATACCCACATCATGTCACGGTCCATGCACACATGGGAACTGAAATGATTAATGCAATTAAAGTGTAGTCTAAGTTAAAAGCACCCACGTTTGGAACACCCCCACATCATCGCCCCCAAGGCCTCCCATTAAGAGAGGCAACCAAGAATACACTATCGTCAGAACTACCTATCTTTTGTCCTGTGTCAATTGTTCAGCTCCTTGTTATTGCTCGCCTTGCTTTACTGCTTTGCTGTTACGCTTCACCTTCGCAATGCGTCCCTTCACGTCACTATCGCAGCCTAGCTCCTCCTGTTAGATCCGCAACAGCTGGCACGAAGGCTGTGTCACTCATGACTATGGTTGGAGTGTCTTGTTTTCTAGAAGTGCTGCACCAGCCGTAGCTCTTTGTTCGACATGTTTATATTATTACTATATACTAATTAATCTAAAGCTCTATCACCATCGCCACTCAAAACGCCCTTTCCGTGGTCACTCATTCTTCTGTCGAGATGCCAGATAGAAAATCATGACTGCCAAGAAATTGGTCACAAATCCCATCCCGATCCCTGTCTTCCAAGCACCCTGCGCATTGGATTTGAGGGCATCCGCATTTTTGAAGAGGAGAATCCAGCCGTGCTCGAGGCCCTTACTCAGCTCCGTCCCGGAACAATAGCAGCTGTCGAAGAACCCTATAAGTTCGAATATGGAGATGGCCAAAAGCCATATCGTGTTGCCGATAAGGAGAAACTGGCCCAAGAGCCGTGTGACGACCGCAACAGCTCCGCAGAACTGCAGGTAAGCTGTCGTTCGCTGCGCGTACTGGTATCCTCGCATCGTAAAGTGCGAGGCCCATGCGGACAATAACATCGCGGCGCATGATGCCGTCGCGAGCACGCCATAGATAACATAGCTCCCCGACCGGCAACCCAACCCTTTGACTACGGTTTCGTAGGATATGTAGATCGCCCAGCCTGTCGTTCCCCACTGCAACACGAGAGCGACGAGCATAGACCAGGCAACGTGCCGCCAGAAAGCCGACATCGCGAGGGGAGACATTTCGACGAGGCTGGTATACTCGACGAGCTCGTGGCTTGGCGGCCCTTCGTTGGCTGGAGGCTGCTGATGACGACCCGCACTGCCGCCGGCGTGGGTGCAGACATCGGGTGCGAGCCCGCAGTCAGCGGAAATCTTGACGTAGTCGTCGTTTGTTATGCCGGGCCGGGAAAGGATGTCCCTTTGCTTCTTCATCCGGTTAGTCGCGGCCTCGAAGGCCATATACAGACGATCCGCAAAATTGAGCCACGAGATTGACCGGGCGTAGTTGAAGACCGGACCTTGTTGACGCTGGCAGCCGGCGACATTGAATATCCTTAGTCTCATTCCAGGCTGGTTTGTTCTTGTAGTAGTCGATGGCGCCCTCACACATCGCGTATCAGGGTCGGCTAGCACGGGGCTGTCTACATTATCGACGACTTCGATCCCCGTCTCTTCGGTCTCGGCACCGATGCGGTTGTTGGCGCGTTGGATCGCTTCTCGGACGGTACCTTTCTTGTTCTGAGTGCCTACCAGAACCCAGCCGATGATTACGGGGACCTGGAGGAGAAGGGGTGTCAGCGATGGTTCGCGAGAATGAATAGATAGCCGCATACATACCAGCCATATCCAAAGAGACCCCGACGACAAGACCAACGCCTCCTCAGTATCGCCGACCTTTTGCTTCAGAGATCCCGTCACGGTGAAAACCCAGGCGATGACAGCCACGACCAGCTGCGCAATAAGCGACAGGGTGGTCCCGCGACGGGTCGATTTCAGACTATTCGCGGCCTCGCTCCACCACGCCGTGTTCGTATCCAGTACCACCAATCGTGCAAGCCAGCCGTCCTTCTGCAGCAACCGTATGGGAGCCTGTCCTGCCTCGTCGGCTATGGTGCGTGCGCTCTTGATCCGGGTCTTCATCCGGGCGAAGTCGTCGCCTTCACAGTCGCGAGCGAGGTCTTTGAACCTCTTTCTGATCCACCGCTTGTTCAGGATCGTCATCATCAAGGAAAAGGTCATGAGCAAGGGGCTCCCGAGGCCGATGCACACGCCAATGATGTTGGCCTCCGTGCTCCCAGTCTCGTACGGGAGCTGAGCAGTAAGTGCCAGCCATGGGAGCAGGTAGTTGGTGGAGCCGGAGGCGAGACGGTTGAAACTGGTGACCTACGCTGCGTCAGATGATGGACTCAAACCGAGAGAATCGAACTGATTTCTTTACCATGTCCAATTTGTCACGACCGCAGAACTCTTTGCATAGCCCGATGCTGATCCCCCACACATCATCAGCTGTAATATTGTTCATCGAGTCGTTGAACCGTGTACCGTTGACGCCGACCACTATTCCACTTGTGATACGCGACCGGGTCTCATGCGTTACGTTGGCCTCCTTCTCGTCATTCCACCCGTTTAAGACTTTTTCTGCGCATTGGGAGTACCAACTGGCATCGTCGTTGCTACCGGCTTGAGGTGCAAATTGTTTGAAAACGCTCTCCAATACCGCATCAAGACTATTCTGGGTGTCAAGTAGCGGGTCCTGGGCCATTCGAGAAGGGGGGGGGGCTTAGAGCAAGGCCTACGTGGCTATGCGGTAATCGCAGAAAAATTTATATAAAGGCTGTAGTTGTTGTTGTTGTTTCTTTTAGTTAGGGGGGACTATGGCTGGACGTGTGTGACTTTGGCCAAAGCCGGGGCGTATACTTCACTCTTATATTACTCTTGGGCAATTATAACAATTCCTCTTCAGCTGACCATGTAAGTGGCGGTGCAGAATAAGAAACAACCTGGCGTCTACGAGCGAACCGAATGTAGGCAGCAGCTGTAAGGCATCCTTTGGCAGGGATAAGGACAGCGAGTTGATCAATAGGCTGAGGGTGTGTTTGTCTTATCAGGATCGATTAGGAAGCTGACTGCTGTGTAACCTACATATTGAGGTGCAACAACGTCAGAATGCTCCAGCTTTGCCTATTACGGATAAGCTAGGCTTTTCCGGTGTCTTGTCCAGGCACCTCATACTTGATATCAAACGCGAGGCGGCCAATGAGGCTTCTCGAGTATAATATCAAGTACGAGGTCTAGACCATCCATAGGAGGCCACCCTCACTGAGCATTCCTCAAGCTGCAAAGCCTGGCACAGCCTCTAAAGCTAGAGTGCTGCCTGCTCTTGCGCCACCACTGACTGCACTTTGGGGATTTTTATAGGTACTGTAAGCCGCCCGTTGGTCCAGGGGCACGAGACGTTGATCCTTCAATGTCCCTCTGCGCCCTCTGTCCATCTGAGGCGCACCGCATGATCCCTTTGTTTCTCAAATCATATGACCTCCGGAGCTTAGGGCCAGTGGAAGTTTCAACCTATACTGTATCGTCAGTTCCCAGTGCATCGCTGTGACGATCATGTCTGATGTGAGGACAGCTTACAATTTCAACGGTGCAAAGAGATGCGGTCCTCTCCAAGCTAAATCTCTGCCTCTTGTATGGAAAGAATTCCTTGGGACGGGCGAGGCGCCGTCGACGTCGTTAGGCCCGGTCGGGATACCGCGGGAGGCTCGGGGGCCGGGCGGAGCCCGTTCCCCCCCTTCCATCAAACTCGATCCTTTAGCAGACTTTCCCACGCCCAATCACCATTGGCCGCCATCGCTCGCAAAGGCAACTCTCTTCCCATGCACAAGGACGGCTACGTTCTCCATTATCTTGGCCGGCACTGCTGTCGAGGTCTTCGTCGGCTTTCACATCTGGACTCATCAATGCGTGTTTGATGGCCGGTTCTCCCCTAAAGCGAATCCAGTCTTATAGCATCCCTCCCTGAAGGTGAGCCCGGATGGCAACCCTGACTTTGATGATTGCCATTATAGAGCCTTTTGCTTTCATTAGAGCAACTCGGTTCTGCTGGGGGATGCACTGAGTGGCGGTTCGAGGGTTGTGGAGACGTACTCGGCACACGCTGTGAGTTCCGTTCCACTGGTATTGATCATCAGCAGGATTCAATATGCATCGGATATTAATGAGGGGCGGGTGGAAGCCCGGAAGAACGAATCCAATGTCGCTGACCTTTAGGAGAAAGAGCAACCGCTGAGTAGCGAGTATCATGTTGGTAGGCAACTCATCCACATTGTGAAGCTTCCTTTCACAAGTCACCGCCAGGCTCATGTTTCAACACCGTCCCTGCAGGCAAGATCCTTACCGGCGACTTCATCGTGATCGAAAAATCCTCCAATTCTCATCTTCCGGGGCGGCCTGTCTCCGAGAGTGGCACCGGTGGCAGCTCGCGAGATGGACACCTTCGTCACCCTCACCACGGAGCGTAACCCCCAACTCGGCGTCGCAAGATTCAACCTCAAGGCCAAAGTTCCCAATGGCGTGAGCGAGGGTAAAGGCGTGCCTCTGGGAGGCGTAACAGTTTGCCTGCATCAGCAATACGCCAAGCTCTTGTTGACAGCTGGCGTGGACCATTGCGTTGCATGATAGGCGAGACCTGAGGCTGGTGCGTGGCCGTCTCCCCTCATGTATTAAGTTATGTATTACTACTATAGACTGTATGGGTTATAAGCATGAAATCTACTCCGGCAACGGTTCCCTATGGTATCATGAAGCAAGGGTTCGCACACGCGCGCGCGCGACTCGTTCTCAAATAACATTGGCGATGAACTTGGGCACGACAAACTCGGCGGGCCCTCCGGTGAAGGCCTCGGTGCCAAGCTGGTAGACTGTGCAGGTTGTCAGCGGGCCCGTCTCGAGTCCCAGGGGGAACCGGGACTAGCAAGAGGGGGAGAGGACTTACCCAGCATGTATTGGTTGTGCTGCGGGAACTCGAACTGATGGCTGAGGAAGTTGAAGAACTGCTTCACGTCGGCGTTGAAGTGCTGGATCGGGCCGTTGACCGGCAGGAAGCTGTACACCTTCATCGCGCCGCCGTGGTTGTAACCAAAGTGCAGCTCCCACTGGTGGCCGCAGAGCTCGACGTGCGCGATGGGCGCCTTGGACTCGCTGATGGGCCACACGCCACCCAGCTTCGCGAGCCTGTTGCGTTCCAACAATAGTCAGCCGAGTAGTCGCTCATACCCTTCCGCGTCGTCTCACACGCGCCGGACGCAGGTCCACCAAGACTCACCAGATCATGACCTCGAACTCGCCGCTGCTGTTGGCGTGGTCCTTGTCGGGGTCGGTGAAGATGTCGTAGGCGACGTTGGCCCGCACGTCCCAGGTGCTGTAGTGCCACTCGGCTTCGGTCGGCAGGGCCTGGATCTCGCTCAGGAGGCGGCGCTCGAGCTGGCGGGCGCCGTAGACGTACGATTTGACGTTGTGCTCGCCGCCCCGCCACTCCCAGTCGGTGGACCACGAGATGCCGGCGGCCCCCGAGGCGCCGGGCGGGCTCGGCCCGTCGTAGTGGGTGCGCTGGGAGCCGGAGGTGGCGCTCTCGAGGCCCCAGGTGTTATTGTTGAGCTCGTACCCGTCGATGGCGTGGTAGGCCCATTTCTTCTCGAGGGTGACGATGTGGTTGCGCGGCGGCGGCATGTTGGGCGGCGGCTGCGCGGGACGGGCTGGCTCCAGTTCGTGATGGGACGAGTCGTCAGAGGTTGAGCAGCAGGATCCCATGAGAGGCGACTCTTGGCGGTGGCCAGGGACACCCTTTTTTTCTCTATCAGACCATCAAAGACTAAATCATGTCACCGGAAGTGAGGGGTAAGCTACCTGTCTGGATATAGCGGCGTGTGCTGGGTTAGGCCTGGTCAGTATTACTGAGGAAGACGGGACAATCTGGAGCAGCACGTCTCTAGAACCAGGGGAACCTGGGCCCTTTTGGGTAACAAACACGCATCCCTGGAACTCCACAGCGTGCGTCAGCTCTGATCCCTACCAAGGCCTCATGGCAAGCCGGGCCCGGTTGGCTGACGTCAATGGTTTTGGGTTTTTCAAGGAAAAGAAAGCAGGGCAACGGCGGAGCCTAAATAATATCGAGGTTGGTGGGGGCGGGTTGGGTTGGCAAGCACATTATTGGAAACATTGAAAGCTGGTTTCTAGTCCGTCCAGGGACCTGGCCTCGGCCGCCGTTGAGGCATTCAAAAGAATGATGGGGAACCCGTTGCGTGTACATAACGACAACCTCTTGGCAACCACAGTCAGTGCTAAACGACGAACCAGGACAGCTTGTTGAGCCTCTCTTAACTCGGGTTGATCGGAGCAACCGAGTATCTTTGATCGGCATGCCAGAGTCGGGTTCGATACATGAGTGCCACTTACGGATACTGATTGTGCTGCAGCATTTGGATCATAAGGCAATTAATTAACCGGGGACTCTCACCCATGTCGGTAGGCGCTGTAAGCGGCCCGAGTTCAGGGCTTCAACTTACAAAGCGGCAAAATGTTCAAGCTGCACCATCATTTCCATGCATGTTCTATTCATCTAACCCAGCATTTTGAGTTGAAGGTTTCTAAGCTATATACAGTGTCAACTATTTTCCCTTTTCAGCGCTACAGGCTAGTTATCCGACTCGTGGTCGATATATGGTGTATTCATGGTAGGACATCAGATTGAAACAGACAATACTCGATGCTTGGAACATTCCCATTTTTCTAAAACCAAAGCTTCCGTAAACAAAACAGTGGACCCTAAATCACTTGGCGGTCTGGAAAAAGCGGCACCATGGCTATAGACACGAGCCGCGAATGTATGTAGATGGATGCCCAACGATACAGCCAAGTCTGCATTCATGCCTCTTGACGAAACTCTTGGCCATGGAGGCCGATTCGTAGGCACTGAGATTATGGCACAATCACGTTATGCTTGTCAATCACAGAAAGAGACTTGCGTTTTCAACCGATACTCGCGCTTGTTCAAGATTCAAGGTCAAGTTTTGGACATGCGTTACAACCGTACAAGTGTTTCAGTGAGCCAAGGTCAGAATCGCAGTCGCGCATCCTCACTGCCAGCGGCATTAGACTCTAAGTTGGAGGCATGCGATGTCTGGGCGCTCCTTGGCGAGCCACCCTGCATCGATGCGAGTAGAGGTGGGTTTGTAGTATTGAACTTGACATCATTGACCATCTACTGTTCATTGGCCATAGTTGGCGATCGCTGAGACGACGGAGGAAAGCGGTGTCGATGATGCATGGCCAACATCTTGATCAAAGGGAAATTGTTATCGGCCTGGGATGTAGCGCAGGGCCGGATGCTGTCTTTGGAATGAATGGCCATAGATAGATGGTGCTGCAATTTGAGTGAATCGCTTCCTCCTAGTTCTTGTATATGTCGCACGACAGTCCCAAACGCTTATCGGCCTGCCGAATGTCTTCAACCCATTTGGTTTCAACGTCAAACTAGTCGTTGCCGGCGGCGATGCTGCGTGCGCGCGATACAAAAAGGGCCCAGAGGTCTCCAATGCCGTGCAAGCCCACACCGCTTGCCCTACGACATGCGGCAAGGCGCTTGACAGTTGATGGGTATACCAGCGTCAGCGTGCATGGGACATAGATTCAAATGTGCTGCTACCCGGCATAGCAAGGGGTTGGTTCTCAGCCCTACCTGCGACACTCCTCAAGACACTTTGGCAGACAAGGGCAAGGTTCGGAGGGGCTTCTTCTTCAACGCGTTCCGGGTCCGAGAGTTTTCGACCCGGTACGCATCCTGGTGCCGCCATCAGCCGTGAAGTCTCCCTGTAAAGGCCATTGTGGAGGGAAGGATTTGCAGAAACACACGGAGAAATTGTAAAACAAAAGGGCCCGGCTCATCGAGTGCTCGCAACGACAGAGCTTCCCGAGTGCATGATTCTTTATGTGTTTCGCCGTGGAATCTTCCTGGAAGCGTCGCACTCCTCTTTGTCAAGCCAAGGCGCAAGAAATTGCACACATGACTCTCCGCCCATCCCGGAGAGGCAACCTAGAGTTGGTCCATGAGAAACCCGAAGATGAGGTACGGCGATCTCCGACTCGGCTCGGTTTCCCAAAGCGCCAAGGCCCAATCGCCCCTGGGAAGAAAGGAGTCTCTTGACGCCAAGACGCCGTGCAGCCGATGCGCCCGCGACGACTCGTGTGCGCGTCGCCCACGCACCCAATGTGCCAATTAGTTCCTTCTGTTCCCCCTAACCTCCCTTCCGTCGCTGATCAGTTCGGATTCCCGCCCCCCCCGCGTGAGAGCCTAAGGGGGGATGCTCGCGCGCGCGGGCTTCTTGGCCGAGGCGGCGCCAATGCTTTTGGGCGGGACGAAGGGGCCAGACGGTGAAGCGATCGCCGGGTGCGGCGGGTGCGGGTGCAACCGACGGCAGCGACTTCGGCTGAAGATGGCACGGGACACAAGTGGTTCGTTTCAAAGGCCTCGAAGATGCGCGCTGCCCAGCCGGGTGTGTCCAGCTCTGTGAAGATCACCGCGGGGAGGAAGAAGGGGCATTTGGACTCTCTTGCAAAGGGGTCTTGGGGGCATTGGGGGCAAAGCAGAATCGTACGAGCCGTCGCACCGAAGACTTGCCCAGGACCATTAGTTCGCTCAGCACCCACGAACCATTGAAATTCGGGAGGAGCTTAAGAGTCTCGTCGGGCGGGGCGGAAACGTCGAGCCAAAGCGTTTTTTGTGCTCGGCGTCCGGAGTGGGAACACGACACGGGTAGCACGGAAGGCCGTGGGCAGATGGCCAATCTCGACGCTGCTCGGAGTCATGTTCGTCATACGTGCGAGGTCAAGATCAGCGGTTTGAGGGGAGAGAGAGGGGGGGGAGACGTCTAGATGAGCCGAGCCGAGTCCTGGACTGGCGATATCTTTTTTGAGCAGCGTTTGACGGTGGGTGCTTGGCAAGCTCGCCAAGCCACGGTGCTACAGTAGCGACATTTCACGGAGTAGACAGCTTGTGAAATGCGTAAGAAGGGGTAAAATGTCTGGGCAGTGCAAAGTAAAAACATCTTCTGGGGTCTCTGGACTCGTTTGTCGATATTCGCCAAGGTCTAAGCAGGGGACACGAGTGCCAATCACCACCACCACCCACGCCGCCGCCCATGCCCTCCTCCAAATGGACCCTGAAAAAGTGACCTGAAGGAGAGAGGGGGGGGGGGGGCTTTGGATCCATTCAGCAGCAGGTGAGATTGGTGTTTGAGCAGATGCGCCTCTACACTGACTGCATGTGTGGACGGGTACCTATATCCCTACCTGCTACCGTACGCACTCGTGAGATTCGTCGACCACTAGTGAGCCGGCTAGCTGTATATAGCTAGCGTCTTACTGATAGCAGCTAGTGGAATTCCATGGCGCTAATCTTACTATAGAAGGCGGTCAGACTATCTACCCTTCGTTGCCAACTAGCCAGCCTGCTTTTAGTACGTACACAACCGTTGCGTAAGAAAATAGGTATATATAGATCCCTGTTTCTGCCAGCACACTATACCTCTTATAGTGGCCGCGATACCTATTGCCGTTAGCCGGCTCACTAGTGGTCGACGAATCTCACGAGTGCGTACGGTACTGGTATTTCTCGAACGCCCGTTTATTGATAAGTCAGGTCACCAAGGAAGCTTCAGGGTGTGAAAATGCACCTCAGTCTGCACGCGGACAAGCATGTCTCGGCACTCGCAACTTGGGGTCGGGCTGAATGAACCCTGCTACATGACGGATGCAGACGAGCAGACAAGGAAGGCCGCTTATCACGATGGAGGCCACCGGGGAAGAATGCTTTCAGTAAGGCGAGGAAAGGGAGCCATAAGCGAGGAGAAGAGACTGTCACAGAATACATATGGGACGCTGCGCTTGGGGACGCCCAGGGCTCGTCGATCCCCGTTTGCGCCCCAAAAGTTCCTCGCCCAGAGCATAATACATACGTATCCGTATATACGTGGTAAATGGATGATCCATCCCCCCCAAACCAAAATTACCAAATGGCAATTTCGCTCTTCGCCGTATCCTTCGCGACCTTCGCGTCCCGTACCGTTGTGCCCCCCGCCCCCCCTTCGAGTGTCACAAACGCAAGGCCCATGACGTTAGACTCGAAGCTGAAGGAAAAAACAAAAGCCGGTTGGGGAACGGGGATGCGACGGGCAACGGACTCTGCGGGCACGCCGAGTCAAACAGGGCGCCATGCCAAATGTCATGGCATTTCAGCAGAGCGGATCGGACAGAACAGCAAATCACGCCCGAGACAGCAGAATGCCATGTCCCCTTGGCCCTCTGGAACCAACCTCCTCTCTGCCGCCAACGTCGGGCAACCGTCATGCGCGGAATGCTCGTGCTGCCGCCGCTTCACCACTGCCGAGTCCTCCCCCAAGAAAGCTCTAATGAGCGCCGAGGGCTAGGCCGGCGCTGCTGCTCCCTTGTTCTAATCATCGAGCCATCATAGATAGTCTGAGGGTTTTTGCTTGGTGGGATCTGTGGCACACCGCAGCCTGCTTGGCAGAGGTTTGGCTGCAACAGCAGGCTCCCCAAGCGTAACAAGCGCAACACCCCCCCTCCAACACAGCACGCCAAATTACCTGGGCCAAACGGGCGGGCTGCCTGTCATTGTGCTCGCCGTCAGCTGTTGATCGCCATCCATGCCGGCGTTGGCAAAGTAACAGTGTGCTTGTGTGTGCTTGTATGTATATGATATGTATGTGTCGGGTTCAAAAGGCACGCCGCATCGAACCCTCACACCGTCTTCTCCTCCACCCCCCGTCGGCAAATATTGCAACGATATGCTGCTCGCCGGTGCTCATCTTGCTTAGGGGCTTTCTTGGCATTCTGCCTCCGGCAAGCTCTGACTACTAACCCCCCCCCCAGATAACTTTATTTTGTACCCTCCCAAGACCCAAGACCCAAGACCTGCGGTGCCCAGGAGAAACGAGGGATGCCAAGACGACTCGCAAAAACCTACGGCACATCCATAATATCCCCCCCTACAAGGCCTAGGCGGGCCAAGGCGGCTTCTGTGGCCCATTTTGGAGTCAGAGAGCTTGATAGCGCCTCTTGGCAGGCAGCGTTTGAGACCTCTCAAGACTCTAGTAGAATGGGAAATGCCAAGACTCTCGTGCCTCTCTGTCTCTTTCTCGTTGTCGAAATCTCTCGCCTCTGGCGCCTTTTTCGCCCAGACTTTGCCCAGGAGCTTGCCCAGCCCGCCCAGCTGCCCAGTGAAAGCGCCAGGCCTCAGCTCTTTTTTTTTCCCTCTTCCTTTTGTCTTGTCTCCCATTCATTCATTTCCGCCCTCTGTTTTGCTCTCTGTTTCTCATTCTCTCATCTGCTTTTTTGAGTTTTTGTCTTCTCTTTTTCCTCCGTCGTATCAGGAGGGCGGAATGACATGGTCAGGCGCTGTCGGATCTCCTTGCTTGGCGATTCCTGGGCTTCTCTCACCAAGCACTCTATCGCCTAAAAGGTCGCTGAATTCACGTTCGGAAACGTATGGGATTTTGGTATCTTGGTCCCGTCCATCCCAATCCATACATATACATACGAAACATTCACACACGGACACACCCCGGCCGGCCTGACTTTACTCTCCCTGGACGGTTCTTGATAAACCCCCGGACACCCTCCACCCCCATACTCGCCCTGGTACCTGAATCTCCATCAACGGCCTGCGACTAGTGTTGACTTTTGTGTGGGGAATCGCCACTACCATTTCTTGAATAATTATCGCCGTAGACCCTCGAAACCGCCTCGAAAAAGGTCCAAGAGGAAAGAGGAAAAGGGAAGGGGGAAAAAAAGACAATCAAACTAGCACGGGGAATAGACGGAACGGAAGGCCATACCCGCACACACGCACCCGCACTCACAGCCCTCCGACGCCGCCATGTCCCTCCACAACGGCGCATACAGCCATCCAGGCTACTCGGCGCCGCCCTACAGCCAGGGATATCACCACCCGCCCGGGGGACAGATGTACGCCAACGGCCACGGCAACACGCAGGTCTACTACACGCCCTCCGGCCACGACGCCGCGCCGTCGTCGACGACGCACGGCGCGCCCGCACGGCAGCAACACTGGTACGGCCAGCCCGGCCGACGCCGGCCCGGCGGCGACGGCCCCTGCTCGCCCGAGACGGACCGCTTCAACAGGAAGCGGCGGCGGTGCACCTACATGTACTACGTCCTGCGGCAGATGGCCATCTTCGTGCCCATCGTCGTGCTGTTCCTGAACATCAACATCTACGTCTCGAGGCGGGGCAAGTACCTCGACGGCTCGACGAGCCCAGCGGACCCCATCTTCTACACGCTGTGGCTGACCGTCCCTATTGTGAGTTATCGCCGTCTACACGAGTCTAACGTCGTGGGTGATATCGTTACTGACGTCTCTCTTTCTTTTCTTTTTTCTTTGCAGTCCTGTTTGGTATTAATATGGTCCGTCGCCGCCGTGATTTGCCGCAAGAGGGTGTTGTATCGCGGGGGCATACCGAAGCACTTCCACTTCGGCATGGAGCTGTGCTTCTCGCTGGGGACGACCATCTGCTGGATCCTCCTCGTCATCCAGATCGAGTCCAAGAAGTCCAACGGCTACTACTCGTATCCGTATATCCAGTATGAGGCCGCGCTGGCGCTCCTGCTTGGTGTCATGATGTGAGTTCTCTCCTTTGATATTCTCGCGCCTTCTCTTCCAGGGACATGTTTTGCTGACAATTCGCGCTCCCCTCCCTCGCAGGCTATCCGAGTTTGGACTCCTCGCGCGCGCCTGGTTCGAGTTCACCAACGACAGGACGCCCCACGAGAATGAGCCGATGGTGCAGGTCTAATCCCAGCGACCGGCGCATTCGAGGGCGGAGTTGTAGAAAAAAAAAAAACCCCCCACTGATAGTTTAACGGTCTTATCGGCACGGCGTTTGTCACGGTTCGGGATTCGGGGGCCCGCGGTTCTGGCCCTGCGGTCCGGGGTGGGAAGGGACCCTCCTTGTTGATTTTACAAAGAAAAGGGGGAAAAGACGCATGTGATACCCATCAGCGAAAGATACCATTAATCAAGAAGCATTTAATCACACACCGGCACCTCGGCTCCGTGCCGCATTCTCTGATACCTAGCTACTGATGTGTTGGCTAGTTTTCTCGCCTCTTCTCTCTCACTCTCACTCACTCTCTCTCTCTCTCTCTCTCTCTCTCTCTCACTAACCTTGAATTTGCAGTTGTTTCTGCTTGCGGTACTCCACCGCCAACGGCAGGAGCAGCGCCGCGGCGAAGACGATGGCCCTGAGCAGCCCCGATACGACGAAGATGCTAAGGTTCCCGATCTTCCTGATGTGCTGCGGCGGCTGCAAGTGAAAGTCCCCCGGCGCCACCGCCACAGCCGTCGTCGGGGTTCCCGCCACGGTCGTCCAGCTTACGCTCGAACGCCGCGTAGAGCTCATGAGCGAGGCCTATGTCGAAGAAGGTTGCGGCCGTGGCGACGAGAACGCAGCCGGCCTCAGCGGCCTGTCTAACTTTGCAGACCCAGAGCATCAGGCTGGAGGGGCAGGGTTTGGGTCAGTAGTGTCTGGGAGGACTCGGCCGTAGTGCGATGGACACTATGCAGTACCTCGGGACTCACTCAGGACACCAAAGGACCTCGTAATAACTGGTGGTGAAAGTCGTTTTGTTTTTTTGATAATACTGATAATAATCAAAAGTAAATAAATAAACAAACGATAATAATGATCCATCAAGCCTGTGACAATTGGCTTATTAGTCGTACATCGGGTCTAGAGTACGTATCGACGCTCCTAAGTGAAGACGTCGGGATGATGGCAAGACATGGTAATGCAGACGATGGGAGGGGGGGCCGGAAGGTTGTATACGGCACGTTTATATCAATCTACCACCGCCCCAGAACTGCCACAAGACCAATCTCGTTCGGGACGGACCTCCTGCAGCAGAGCGGCGTGGTCGGCCGTGGTGTGCTCTACGAGGATTGAGTACATGGAGTTGGCTCCATTCAAGGGTCCGGCAAAGTGAATGCAGGTCATAGGGTGGAAGCACTTAGACAGATAGATGTATGGGTGTCATTAATGTGTGAGAATGAGCCAGCGAGTGTGGGTGATGAGAGCGAGGTATGACGGGCGCATGATGTGAAGACAACGACTGAGGGCGGACAGTGAGTGAGATTTAGAGTGAAACTGAGAGTGAGGTTGAGTGAGAGCGAGTGTGAGTGAGAGAGTGAGTGAGTGAGTGTGAGAATAAGGCACAAGTGGGGTGCCGATTACCTAACTTCGGTGAGCGGCACACCTCGAGCTTCGGTGTGTGCCCCACCTCCACCGACAGCGGGGCGATCCTCGGGACTCATCGGGGAAAGCCGCTAACGATTTGGGCGCCAAGCGGGGCGTGTGGATCCTAGTAATTGATTTCGATTGGCCGATGTATCATTTATATGGGTCCCAGCTCGCTCGTGGGACGTCTCAGGCGCGTCACACGTCGTCAATAGCGCCGAAAAGAGGCAGAGAAAGAGAAGGAGCACCGGGGCAGGCAAAGGCAAAAGGCAGAGGCAAGTGGAGACGGCAGGAGTTGCCCGCGACTTCCGACCGGGTCGAAGCTGTCGTGCCAGCAAGGAAAGAACGAAAGAGAAGGAAGGAAGGAAGGGAGGAAAAGAGACAGGGAGGCAGGGACGGGGCCCTCCAGGAGGAAGGGACGAGTGGGAAAGAGAGAAAGAGTCAAGAGGCAACAAGTCAACGCTCAGAATGAGTCGGGAATGTTTTCTCAAAACCTCCATGTTTTGATGGATCGATTGACTGATTGACTGGATGATTGAATCCTCACATAACAAACAACCCCGGACAATGCCTAACCATCCAACCTACCGACCGACCAGCCCGTCCACCCCATCCATCCATCCATCCATTCGCCCAACCAAGACGACGTAAGAGCGGCGAAAGGTAACGTCGCAGCTAGCCAGCCTTTCTCGCCCCGGCCGCCGATTTCGCTATTTTCTAGTTTTTTTCCCCACCACAACTGTGGGAAGAAAAGGGAGGGAGACCGAGAGACAGAAGCAGAGAAACGGACAACTGTGGAAGAAAAAGAAAGGGAGACAAAAAAAGGGCCCCGAAAAGCGTGAGGACAAGAAACTAAGAAAAACCACCCCATGGGAGATCACCATGTCCTCAACGAGGGCAATCAAGAAGAGCGCCTTCTCGTGCGAACCATGCCGCCGACGCAAGGTATGTCTTCATCTTCCTTTTCTTCTTTTTTTCCTTCTTTTTTCTTTTGTGTCCTTTTTATTTTCATGTTGTCTCTCTCCCTCTCCCACCCCCCTCCCTCTGCGTGCGCTTAAATTCCTGCGCCTTTTCCCCGCGGCCGTGCCACAAAGTTGTGACGTCCCGCCCCCCCCTGTACCACCCGGCACCGCCGACGGCCTCCGTAGCGGGCGCTCTTCGTTTGATGATTCTACCTAACGTGTCTCCGGACCCGGAAGGTTTACGGGAGCGGACATCATATCCGGTGGTCAAGGAGGGGGAGCGGCGGGGGGGGGGGGGGGGGGGGACGGATTGATGGCTCCCGGCACCTACGGAATCGGGCTTTGGGTCCCGCACCGACCGACGACGGACGGATTGACAGTTGTGATGGTCGACGATGGACTGACTTGATACTCGGCAGGTGAAATGCGGCGGAGAGCAGCCGACCTGCAACCGCTGTGCCGCCCGCGCTGATGAATGCGTCTACAAGCTGTGAGTCCTATCCCGTCTCATCTCGCCCGTAGTCCGTGTCTCAAAGGAAGACGCTAAGTGTCGGCTAAAAAGCAACCCGACCCTGTCGTACACGTCACGCTTGGAGCACCGCGTCAAGGAGCTCGAGGCCCAGCTGGCTACCGCGAGGGCTCACGCCCCGGGCCCCTCCGAACCGTCGCGGACCTCGTCGCCCAGCGTCGGCCCGTCGGCCGGCCAGTCGCCCATGACGGACCCGCATCACTTCGAATCGCAGGACGAAGAGTCCGTCAACGAGAGCTTCAAGGGCCTCAAGGTCGACGACAAGGGCGCCATCACCTACCACGGCGCCACGAGCTTCTTCAACCTGCCCAGCGACCGGCCCTCCGGCTTGCGGGACCAGCAGTCGACATCAGACCACGCCATGCATAGGCGTGAGAGGCTGGTCGCAAACGCCTGGCAGCAGCGAGCCCTCGAGAACATGTCCGATATCCCGGTACGCCCTCCCTCCCTCCCTACCTGCCTACCCATTGCTGTCCAACGCCAGAGTGAGTGAACCTCTTCGTAAGCTGACGTCCGCCTTCCGCCAGGAACCCTTCCAATACTTGTTGAATGTCCACTGGTGCTGGATTCAGCCCTTGTTCAACTTCATCTACAGACCCGCATTCACCCGTGAGCTCTCACTGGCCCCTCCTCACCGACGGCTTTTTTGGGTCCATGGCTAACCCATACATACCTTACCTTTGCCCAGGCGACATGCAGACATTGGGACCCTATTACTCTCACACCCTCATGAACGCGGTATTATCACACTCCATCCGCTGGGGACGCAGTGACCCCGCAACCAAGGACAAGTTGGACGAGTTCTACGACGGCGGCGCCCTCTTTGGCAAGCACGCCCGCAGCATGGTCTTTGAGGAGCTCAGCAAGGGCATCTGCTCTATCCCCACCGTCCAGACTCTGCTGCTGCTCAGCGCCCAGGAGTGCAGCGTCGGCAACAGCGCCCAGGCCTGGACCTACAGCGGACTCGCCTTCCGCATCATCGACCACCTGGGTATCTGCGTCGACGGCCAAAGGTACCCCGGCTCGGTGCAGCTGGCGGACGAGGACGTCGAGATCCGCCACCGACTCTTCTGGAGCTGCTACTTCTGGGATAAGATGATCAGTCTATACCTCGGACGCTCGCCGTCGCTCCAGCAGACGTCCGTGTCGCCGCCCCAGATCATGTGTAGGTCTCAACCGTACATTCCGGCCGTTGACCAATCACTCTCCGAGACTAACGACGTTGGTATTTAGTCGACGACTCGTCCGAGAACGAATCCTGGACCCCATTCGGCGTCGTCCCCGAGGGCGGCTGGAAGTACCCGCCCGCGGCGGCCCATTCCACCTCCTGCTTCACGCAGATGTGCCGGCTCTCCACCGTCTTCAACGAGATCCTCGTCCACATGTACGACCCCGTCCGCCCTAACAGCCAGGCCGAGATGCAAGACTGCCTCGCCAAGCAAGAGGTGGCCCTGCAGCAGTGGTGGGATGAGCTGCCGCCTTTCCTCAAGATCGAGGCCACGGCGCTTCCTGCGCTAGCCCCCCCCTCTCACATTATTACACTGAAGTAAGCACCTACCCCTCCTCGTCCCTGTCCCCCCCCCTCTTTTTTTCTCGGTCAATATGTGCCCCGCTGACGCTCGGTCAGCGTCCTCTACCGCACATTCAAGATCCTCCTCTACCGCCCCATGCTCTCCCGGCACAGCGGAGACAGCGCCGAGAACCTGCAGCCGGTACAGAGGTACCTGGGCGAGTGCGTGGCGTCTGCGACGGGCATCATAGCCATCTTCGACCTGTTCTGCCGATCTTTCGGCATCAGCCACTGCGTCCTGTCCCTCTCATACAGCGTGTACATTGCCGCCTCCATCTTCCTGCTTCAGGTCCAGTCCAGCGTCGAGAACGCCCAGGCGCTACGCCGGCTAGAGTACTGCGTTCGCATCCTCGCGTCCGTGAAGCGCATCAACCCAGGTGAGTAAATGCCATCCATCGCCTATTGCTGCTGCCGCCGTTGCTCCTGTTAAGCCTGGGCCGACTGAACCCGACTGACGCCTTGCAGTCATCAGCAGTGCCCTGAACCTCATCACCCGCGAGCTCGTCCGCCTGGGCATAAACATCGGCGCCCTCGGGCTACCAAAGACAGCCCCGACACCACCCATGGCCACCTACGGTATCCCGCAGCCCCGGCCAGTCGAGGCGCCGTCCGCATCCGCCTCGCTCGGCCCCGAGGCCACCAGTTCACCCGAGCAGCAGCTCTACAACTTCCCCTTCGTCGACACCCTCGGGCCCGAGGCCTTCGCCATGGACCCGCAGGTCGTACAGACCATGTCATCGATAGAGCCGTTGAGCGTCCGGGTCGGCGCAATAGACGAATAGAGAAGCGCGACGTACTCTCTTCCGCGTCGGCTCTGAAGGCGCTGTAGACTGCTGACGTCGCGGCCTGTCTGAGCCGACGTGAACAAACGCACCACCACCTGACTATAGAATGTGAACGTCATGCTGCTTGTCATTAGGTAGACCACCGGCCTCGCTCACGTCCCTCTCAGGACGCCAGCACGCCATCCACGCGTTGACGCCCTGCCTCCTAGTCTCGATGCTATCGAACGGCGTCAACTACATACCCAGATGGCGATCCCGTCAGCGTACGCTTTCGAGACCTTCGCCCCGACTCGTCGGTCGTCGGCAAAGCCGTGGAGAGGCCGTTGATCCCGCCCAAGACAAGCATGCTCCCGACGTTCATGTGGAGTGCGGGTCACCACTTCAAGATCCACTCCCGGAGCGTTGTTGCAAACATCGTGAAGCGTACGGCACAGTCAGCACTCTCCTTGCGCAGCACGTGCGGCTGGTGGAACAGAGCATGAGGAGGAGAAGGCCGCATCGTGGATCATGTCGGTCTCGACCGCCTCGCTAGGTGTGAAGTCGGCGACAGGCCCTGCCACGCCGGCGAACGTATCGAGCCTCAGGCGGGTCTTTCACGAACGACGACGAACCGGATGCTGGGCGATGCGGCGTTGGATGCCGGAGCGGCTGACCGCATCGCAGGGGATGGAGAGGGAGGCCGGGCAGACGGGAGGGCGTTGTTATCGCCGCCGCTGCATTGTCGAGCGACTAGAGGTGTAGCTAGCGAAGCGTCTTGGTGAACTCGGCCAGGTGTACTGAAGAAGTATCTAGATTTTATTAAAAAACGACGATACGTATTGCACGGCTATTTTTGTAAAAGAGTTAGGTGGCGTCACGAGCCGACTCCCTCCACCATGCCCACGCATAGCACGTGGACATGAAGCAAATCAGTCCAAGTATAGAGGCAGGACATGGATGGTGAGACCCAGACTGATGGCGACGGGGAGGGTCCTAAAACCCGCGCGCCTGGCAAGGCCGCCCGTCATCATCTTGAACCAAAGGACGCCGCCGGGGGAGGGCGCTGCTCTGTTTCATTCAGTGTTGTTTCCTTGTCTCATCCTTAGGCATGCGCTGTGCGACCTTGGGGGTTTGACCTCGGCGTTGGTCAGCATTTTCTGCTCGGAGCGAAGACGCGAGGACCAGTCAGTGGCAGGACGAAGGGAGAGAGAGAGAGAGACACCTGGTATCTCCCCATTCGCTAGGCCGGAGCGGGTTTGGGGGACGTGATATACTCGACTCACGGGCTTGCCTCGTTGCGGAGTTGCATTGTTGTACCTGTCATACCGGTGGGATGCCTCTACTCGGGCATGTTCCGATCCCTTTGGAGGGGGGACTGGATGCTCCGGAGGGACCGCAGCAGCCGCAGTTGGTGTGAATTGGGAGGGGATGGGGGCGAGAGAATGAGACAGAAAAGAGGGAGAGAGGGCGAGGGGAGGGAGGGTTGCAGGGCAGGGCAGTCAGTGTTCGATGGGCGGCGTCATGAGTGGTCCGCGGAAGGGGCACCGTGAGGTTCTGCGGGCGTATGTGATATTACACACACACACACACACACACACACACACACACACACACCGTCTTCTCCGGGTTGGGCGGCATTCCAAGTCGGTTCGCGGCTTCGGTCAACTTCCGATGTGGACGAGTGTGTGTGTGTGTGTGTATGGAAGGAGTGAGAGAGAGGTCCCACGACTAGACTAGACTCGCGCGCTTCGGGGATCGGCGAGAGAGAGGCGAAAGAGGGAGGGGGGAATGGACGAGTCTGGACTTTTGTTAGAAAACGTGGGGGGACTAGCGCAGATATGCAAGATGCGTCCGGAGGTTACATGTGCCTTGGGCACGATGGCGATGCCAAGAGAGCGCTGACGGCGGGAGGGTGTGGATAACAGATCGCGGGAGAGGGATGGGATAGGATGGGGAGGGATGGGGATGGATATCATCATGTTAGAACACCGAAGAGCTGCGGCTGTGCGTATTGGGAAGACCGTGCCGGTAGGGGGAGTTGCTGAGTGATTTTCTTCTTGTTGTTTCTTTCTGATTCCCCACGCGTAATGTTTGTGGATGACGGCGGATCCGATGCCGACGGCGCAATCGGATGGGCCTTCCGACACCTTTTGTTTGGCGGTGGGGGGCACGTCTACCACGAAGCCGTTTTCCTCTCGGGGTCCCGGTCTCGTCATCTACCCTCATCCAGATCCTGAGTCGGGAAGAGGGGGGAAACGATGCCGGGCAGGGGAAGATTTGTGGGAAAGGATTGAGCCTAGCGAAATGAACAATCTGTAGGAGAAAACTTTGAAGAGGAATATGGTAGCGCTCGCTAATAGTCTCGCTACAATGGAGGAGAAACATGAGGCATAAAAAAAAACCCTCTGCAGAGGATAACCCTCCCAAAAGCAGACCCATCATGATGTGAAAATGGATAGGATGGATGGATGATGAATGGATAGATCGCCAGTGGGACTTGAACCGACGCCCGTTGGCGGGTAACGCTGTCCTCCCCTCCATCCCTCCCTTCCTCGTCCTCCTCCGAGGCTGGGGAAGTCGTCCGTGGATGTAAGTGGCTGACGGGGACCCCCGGTCCGCCAGCACACCGGGGACTGGCCGAGGTACGGTTAGTTTTTTTTTTTTTTTTTTTCTTTGCTTCTTCTTTTTTTTATTAATCCTTTTTGCTCGAGTTTGCGGACAAGGGCCGAGGCGGACGATTCGAGGGATTGGCGCGAATATAAGAGATTTGTCTGTATGTATACTACCCGGTACATTGTGATGGGAAGGGAAGAGGGGGCGTTATGCAAGTCTGTAGAGGACGAGAACGATACGATACAGTAGATGACCATGATGCTGCGGATTCGGAGTGTTTGGTTGTGATTAAAAGACGAGGAAACGATTCCATGTATTCTACAGAGAGAAACATAGACCGTAACTTTGCAACCCTTTACCTAAGCACTTGTAAGCCCGCAGCCCCTCTAGCTCAGTGGTAGAGCGTCGCACTCGTACACCTGCAAATTATGCGAAGGTCCACGGTTCAATCCCGTGGGGGGGCATGCCTTTTGCGGTTTGCACACATTTTTATATTCGTCAACCACATACATCTCTCCAAGTAGTCACGGACATGGATGAGGCCACCTATATCTACTGTCAGAATGTGTCCTTGTATGTTGGAAAGCTGTGAGTTGTTCTTCTACTTTGTTGCCTGGGCGTATTTTAAGTTGTAATAGGTAGTAGGCGTTTCTATTGTTTTGTTACAGACGTCTATCTAGTTCACTACCTAACTAGAACTAGTCATTAGGCGTCCAAATGTCTGCGACCTGTATTGGCACGCTCTCTATACAATGATTCTTTTATATACATACATATATACATACATACATTGATGCACATACATACTGCGCACGGATATATCCTCCATGTCAGCGGCCGCCTATCATACTGTATACCGTATAAACCGGGCGCATCCTACCTCGTTCAGCAGGCGCTTGCGGAATCATCATGTTCCAGTACTTGTTTTGGACAGGAGACGACCAGACACTCTACTCTGTGTGCATGGGTGTATGCATAGTCACACTCGCTGGCCAGTGGTACAAGTCTCGTCCCACCTTGTCGGACATGTTCTGTCCTGCGAAGCCGCGTTGTCTGTCTCAAGCATCGCACACGTAGTGCTGTAACTTGAACCCCCCGCCGCCGCTATCAAGTAAGTCCTTGGCAATGCGCCCACCCAGTGACCAGTGAAAACCCGAACAGTCGCAATCTTGAAGTCTGGACGGCGTCTTGTGTAACCTGTCACCGCCTTCAGCGTCTCAGTGGCCCCGCCCTCGACCGAGGCGCAGCATCTCGACTTGAAGACCACCTTGCTTGCCCGGCCCTGGCTCCACGTGCAGACCCAGGGTATTGCAGATGGCTGCTGGCGATGCGCCCGCTGTAGACCCGGGGTGCGGCACGTTCGTATGTCGGGTCACGAGGACGTGGTCTGCGTTATCAAGCGAGCGTAGGCGTGAGGGCGGTAGGGGACCTGCAAGGCAACGGGGCAGCCGGTGCGGGACGCATTCTGCAACCTGGTCTGCGGAGAATCGGCAGGATGGTGTGGTGAGATGTGACTCAAGCCGACATGTTGCGAAAAATCAACCGCCAAGAACCGAGAGCATCATCATGAGGCAACCAACCCATCATGAGTGATGAGTGGCCTCTCGCGCCTGGAGGCCGGAAGCCAGCAGGGGAGGGACGGGTGTCACAGCTCTCCCTCTCCCTCCGTGGCAAACATGTTCCGACGCCGCGTCAAAGTCCGGGGGTTCGCTTACTTACTACGGACAAGTACCGTTGAACTTTGTGAAGGGGGTTGGCCTCGCGCGTGCGGGATATTGCCTGCTGCCGAAGTGCTTGAGTCGTTTAAAGTAGCCGGCCCCATGCCCATATACCCTGGCTGGGAAAGAGAGGAGCCCGGCGTTATCAAAGTTGGCAATTCGAAAAGTCTGCGCAGACCTTTGGCGGTTTTTTTTGTTTTTATTTCTTTTTGTGACACGTAGTCCCGGACGTCATCCGTGACCAGACGGGCCTCGAAACTCGTTATCCGCGTGCATGGCGAGGCCGTTGTCGACGGAGTGAGTACCACCTCCGAGCGTCGAACAACACCGCGCCGAGTCATATATCACTCGAGATCCGCAAAATGTATGCGGTCGATCCAGTCTTCTGCGAGTGCAGAAGATTTGTGTTTCCACATCAAGCCTGGACAAGGTATATATATCATACAGCCATGACTCATCTTCTACAGTTGATAGGATAACAGCGTTGCGTGGCGGGCACTCGACATGGGCGGCTCCTCAAAGCTTGTCTGGGTAGTCGAGACGGCCAAATGCCGACTTATCAAATCTCCGGCATCACGACTCAACAGACGTAAACTTTGCAGTGGTGATGAACGAAGGGCCATGCTGCCGTAGAACCGACGCGCGCCAAACCCTCTTGGGAGGCTATATATCAGGCTGCTGTAACTACAAACTCGAACAGACGTCTGCCCATGTACCTATGGTTGGATATAAAGAATCATCACCTCCGCAACAGACCGCATGCGCAAAAACATGCCGGTCACATCATGAAGCCGTCTATGGTAGCACCAGTTGTCCTGAATTCCATGGAGTCACGGAGCCACGGGCATGGGATCGCCATTAATGCCCGCTCCGAGACGCATGCGTACCCAAGCTTCTTTTTTTGTCCTTCCCTTCTCGCTCCTCCCGTTCGGCATCTGACCGAGAACCGAATAGCTTGGGCCAATGGCTGCTGCGCGCATCAACCGCTCCGTTTGGCCTGCGAATCTCGGTCCAAGACCGAAACGGGTGCGGTGCCATAAATAAGCCAACGCCGGCTCGGCTCGGCTCCACAGTGACAGGCGTGTTTTGCAACATTTGGCTGATAGATCGACAGAGCTTTTTTTCGGCATGGCCCTCCCCCCATGAATGGGAGGGGAGTGGTGATGGTGGTAGTGGTGGTGGCCATGTCACTTGGAAAGTATCAAGACGGGTTATGTTGTGCTCATAGATTTCCATACTGCGATTCCGTATTATCATGTAGTCTTTGCGACCCTTGCGGGGGACCGCCCTTGGCTACGTATCTCAATTATAGTCATAAATCGTCACGCTGAAAAGAAGACGAAAAAAAAAGAAAGAAAGAAAGAAAAAGATGAAAAGATCGAGGCTGTCGCAAGACACGCGTCATGTTCCGCCACGGGTATTCCACAACTCCTCCGCGTTGCCCCTGAAGAGCCTGTCGACCAGGACGTCGTCGCTGCCGCACCAGCCGAGGACCGTCTCCATCCAGGGCCGGATGTCGAGGCCCTCGAACCTCGTGTGCGGCCAGTCGGTCGCGAAGACGACGCGGTCCCCGCCGCGCAGGCGCAGGACCTCGCGCGCGATGGGCTCCAGGTCGCCGTGGTCGGCCCTCGAGCTCAGCCGGTACGGCGCCGACAGCTTGACGTAGGTGCTGCCGGCCTGCAGCAGCCTCGCCAGGGACGCGAAGCCCCTCATGTCGTAGGGGTCGCCCGACGCCGCCATGTCCCCGACCGAGGGGTGGCCGAGGTGGTCGACGCAGACGCGGACGCCGCCGAGCGTCGGCACGACGGGCTCCAGCAGCTCCATCATGGCCATCGGCACGTACAGCTGGATCACCCAGTCCAGGGGCCGGCAGTCCTCGGCGTACCGGCGCAGCAGCTCGCCGAGCTCCGCGGCGTCGAGCGACCGGCCGACCGACGACAGGTTGATGCGGACGCCCCGCACGCCGAGCCTGTGCCACTCCCTGCGGGTGCTCTCGGGCACGGTGCCGGGCTCGAAGGCCACGACCGCCCGGCCGCGGCGGGGGCCGAGGGCGCGCAGGGCGTCGAGGAGGCACGCGTTGTCGTTGCCGTAGATGGACGGCTGCACGAGCACCATGTTGTCGATGCCGACCGAGGCCTCGAACGAGAGGGCCTGGTCGAGCCGGTGCGTCTTGGGGCAGTAGATGGCCTCCTTGGCCAGCGGGTACGCGCCAGGGTTGACGACGTGCATGTGCGAGTCCCATGCGCCGCGGGGGATCCGCTCCGGCAGCGTCGCCCTTCGCCACGTGGCGGCGGCGGCAGCGGCGGTGGCGGTGACGGACACTCTGGGCACGAGCTTCTCGTCGTGCCTGGTCGAAGAGGGGGCGATGAGGGGATGGATGAGCGCCATGGCGGCGGCCTTGAGGTGATGGAGCAGGAAGGACGGATGCGCCTGGAGCATGCGCCGCCTCTCGGGGAGCGTTTCGAGAGCGGAGACGGCCCTGTGAGTGAGGCTGGAAAAGGGCCTGGCGGTGGAAAAGAGGTCAAGGCCGCGGACTTGTCGTCGTTGTCGTTGTCGTCGTTGTTGTTCTTGTTGGTGCCGTCGATGTTCTGGGCGCGAGGTGGTGGTAGTCGGCCGCCTGGACGGGAGACATGGAAGGGATGAATACTTCTCCTCGAGAGGACAGACTGGCGTCAAGACCGGTGCCGTGGGGGACCTGTTATACGCAACGCCGGGCAGTAGCATTAGCAGCAGAGATGTGCGATAGCGGCGATGGTGGTGGTGGTGGTGGTCCGCCTGTACATATGGAAGCCGGCCCATTGCGCTCGACGAGAATCCGCCGCCCAAGACCCGGCTCATTGTGTGGATCATTGCGGTGCAGCATACTCGAAAGGGCCCAGGTCCAGATCCGCCTGCATTCTATCTCCAGCGGGCGATGCAAGACGTAGCTGCAGGAGTAGCAGCAGGATTAGTAGCAGCAAGTGGAGGAGATAGAGATGCAGGGCCGAGTCGGGGCAGAGTTCAACGTCTGGGTTTGGGGGCCGCGTGCTCGGAGGATGGCCGACCTGGGTATATGGTTAGTCGGCGGTGGCTGTATGTCGAGGTCGGCTGCGGTGGTGATGCGCGGTTTGCACAACCAGCGCTGCACATACATACTCGTACATGCCATTGACCATCCCCAGCAGCACCTCCGGGAACTCTTGGTATGGAACCTGCCCGACGGCGGCAGGCCGGGTTTGGGAGTGGAGAGGAATCATGATTGAAGTCCAGGGAACTCGGGTTATTGGCCCGCGGCAGTGCCCCCGGGTTTGCTTCAGTCCGCTGCTAGCCACGAGTCAGGGGCCCGTGCGAGAAAGAGACTTTGTCCGGAAGTTGACCGAGAGGAGGACGACCAAGAGCTGGGCAGAGCCGGCCGTATGCAGTGAGAGAGATGGAGACTGATGAGCGAGAGCGAGTGGTCTGTTGTGAGTTGAGGCACATTGTCCCCGGGGACTACGGCCGGAAACGATCCGGGAATGTAGCACGAATCAGAACGATGCTACCGTGCCCTATACGGCCTACACGCACACCCTCCTGCAGTCTTCGCGCTGAAGAATACTTAGTAGTACTTGTTTGTGCCGGCTTACACGCACTTGTTTGCCTGTCACGGCCAATCCCGGCGCGGCGCGGCGCGGCGCGGCACTTGACGACAGGACCTAGGCTGAATACACGGAACTCCCGAGTGAATGTGGAGATGGAGGATGGGGATGCTCATCTTACTAAGAAGCTTCCAGGGATGGATAGGGCCTCGTCTGATTCCCCCCCCTTCACCCACCCAAGAACAGACGCTGCTGCTCTCTCCTCTCCTCCTCTCCCGTTCGGTCAACGTCCGATGTTTTCCTCTGCTCTGAACCCATCCCATTCCGTTCCCCCACACTCCTCTGCACGAGATCCCTCTTCCCGCGCGATCGAACCACCGAACGAAATCGCGGGGTCGAACAGAACCAGGGCCCAAGCTGCATCCCGTCTTGTATTGTACCCCGTGGAGGGACTGCGCCGCTCACACCTCTCCCCTCCCTCCCCGCGTACCTGGGAGACGTTCTCCGTCGTCCCGGAAGAGGGAGTACGGGAGAACAGTTGGTAGGGGGGTATTCCAGCTTTGGGGGGGGGTATCCGTTGTGGGGCTGAAAAGTTAGGGCAGGGGTATTAGCAAGGGACCTATAGAGTTATGTAAAGTTGATATGTGCGAAAATAGAAGGCAGTTGCGCTGTACGCACAGTAAAGAATTTTTAATTAAGCGCTAGTGCCTATTATATAACTTTATTTATATATCTACTCTAGGCTTAGTGTTAACTTACTCTTAGTATATACTAAGCTTTAGCTTAGTAAATTTCTTTTTCTCTTTTTTTTTTTCTTTAAACTATTACTAACTTATATAGTAGTAGTAACAGTAATAGTAATAGTAATAGTAAAGTATTTTCTTAATTTATTCTTATTATATTCTTAGTATATACTAATAATATTTTAGATATCTACTAACTATATAAACCCTAGTATCTCTAATACTAATAATCCTAGTAACTTTAGTTACTATTATAGTAAGTATATATATAATCTTTATTAAGTTATAATAAGGTATATACTAATTTAATATAGGACCTATTCTTAACTTAAACTATAGCTAGGTCTTCTCTAGTATAACCTTTGTTCTTTACTTATATAATATATATATAGGGCACTAACTTATTATATATAGACATCTAGAAGCTTTATAATACTAGTTATACTTATATATTCTTAGCTTTATTTAAATATATATTTAGTATATACTAACTTTATTCTTAATAGACACTATTACTACTAAGATAAACACTAGTATATTAATTTATAAAAGACTAAGAATATTAGTAGTATATTATCACAGGACAATAGGTAATTACCCTAAAGTCCTATGTAGACCTAGTAGGTTAAAGGAACATTATTCCTAATATAGTTCAGTAAG